GGATCATCTTTGTATTCCCCTTCCCTTTGTTCCTGCGCCTTTGATCCAGGATCTTGCTCTATCACCCAGGCTGGAACGCAAGTGGTACAGTCATGGCTCACTGTAGCTTTGAACTCCTGGGCTCAAGCAGTCCTCCTACCTCAGCCTCCCGTGTAGCTAGGACTTACAGATGTGTGCCACCACACCCAGCTAATTTTTTTTTAATTTTTTGTAGAGATGGGGATTCACCACATTGTCCAGGCTGGTCTTGAACTCCTGGCCTCCAAAATGTTGGGATTACAGGCATGAGCCAACATATCTGGCCTTTTATTCACATTTTAAAAAGAAAAAGATTTATCTTCTACCTCTAAGAAATACCAGAGTAAGGGGTCCAGAGGCCATTGTGTCCATAATTGGAATAACATTGAATGCCAAGGGTCTTATAAGCATAATCAGTGAAAACAAGGAACACATCATCTCTGCTTACCTGCCCAGAATTCCCTCATCCTGATGTGGTCCATCCCCAGTTTCTCAGTAGTATGGGGATATTTTTGAAGCTTTACATCTAAAACCAATAATGACAGGACTGACTTTGGAAGTCAGGCTGCCTGGGTTTGACTTTAAGATCCACTACTTGGTGTTTGTGTGGTCAGATGTCAATAGTTGTTTTTTTTTTTTTTTCGAGATGAAGTCTTGCTCTGTCTCCCAGGCTGAAGTGCAGTGGTGCGATCTCAGCTCACTGCAACCTCTGCCTCCCGGGTTCAAGCAATTCTTCTGCCTCAGCCTCCTAAGTAGCTGTGATTACAGGCTCATGCCACCACACCTGGCTAATTTTTGTATTTTTAATAGAGATAGGGTTTCACCATGTTGGTCAGGCCGGTCTCAAACTCCTGACCTCAAGTGATCTGCCCACCTCAGCCTCCCAAAGTGCTGGGATTACAGGCACGAGCCACCGTGCCCGGCCCCAAGTCAATAATTCTTAAAAGTTTTGGTCTCAGGGCTTTTCTTATACTCTAAAAATTGTTGTATGTATCATATTTGCTTCATTAGAAGTAAGTTTAAAAAATATTTACTAATTCATTTAAAAATGATAACCCATTATAGGATAACATAAATAACATTTTTGTGAAAAAAAATTTCAAAAATAACCATTTAGTGAGAAGAGTGGCATTGTTTTTTGTTTTTTGTTTTTGAGACGGAGTTTCGCTCTTGTTACCCAGGCTGGAGTGCAATGGCTCACAATCTTGGCTCACCGCAACCTCCGCCTCCTGGGTTCAAGCAATTCTCCTGCCTCAGCCTCCCGAGTAGCTGGGACTACAGGCGTGCGCCACCATGCCCAGCTAATTTTTGTATTTTTAGTAGAGACGGGGTTTCACCATGTTGACCAGGATGGTCTCGATCTCTTAACCTCGTGATCCACCCGTCTCGGCCTCCCAAAGTGCTGGGATTATGGGCGTGAGCCACCGCGCCCGGCCTAGAGTGGCATTGTTTTACTTTTTTGCAAATCTCTTTAATAGCCAGCATAATGAAAAAGAAACTGAATTATCATAAATGCTTCTGTATCTGGATTCTCATCTTGTTTTGGTTGAAATACATGAAAAAACTCCGACCTCACATTGATATGTAGTTAGAAAAGAGTAGGGTATTTTAATAGCCTTTTCAGGTCATTGTACATCATCTTTGATACTATACCAAAACTCAGCAAGTGGTAGTTTCTTAAAGGTTAGTTGTAATATAGAATCTAATACCATGTCAGTTATCTTTTTATACTCTGTTACATTAAAATCCTTCAGTCTTTGACTCTTTCCCTATGAACAGATCTTTCACCCATGCACGATTTTGTAACATCACGCACTGATCATTTAGAAAACATTGGTTCACCAAGTTATGCGGATTTTCCAAATGTTACCACATTGCATTACACAACATCAGAAATATTTATTCATTAATATCCCCACTGATCTCACCAGAAAAGTCTGAGTATTGGAAAAGTGTCAAACTCACAGTGACAGTGAGTTTGGATACAAGTTTTCCAAAATTCTAGTTTTCACTTGGAAGCTCGAATTTTATCCTTGGCAACAAAAACTATTTCTTGAAGCAACAGGCTCTCTTCATTTGTAGTTTCAGAAAGACAAGTGTGAGCAACCCTAGTTTGTCTGTCAGTCATCCTTTCATGTTTCATAAGAAAAGAAGCTAGTTCAGCTCCAACTCAAACCAGTGCTTTTCCTCCAGAAAACCATCATCACCGCAGTATGCAGCAGGAATGCTTTATGTGTGCTTTCCATTTCATTCCACAGAGTATTAAAAAGATGTGTACTCTGGGGCAAAGGTGTAATTAATCATTTTTACTACTTCGTCATGACATTCTTTAGTTTTTTTGTTTTTTACTGTGAGCCTGCAGCAATGAAAAGTACAATAATTAGCAGTACTGTTTAGGGCCACTGCCCTGATTCAAACCAGGGTGCCAGGCGTGTTGCCCACCATTGCTTTGCTCCATTGCAAAAATGTCAACAGAGTGACATTTTAGCCCCAGTTTTAGGATTAAGAAAACAGTTTTGACCCTGAAAGTGTCTCAGGAACCCCGGGTATCCACAGACCACACTTTGAGAACTGCTAATCTGAAACCTGTGGTCACTACCTCATTGTATTGTTTAGGGGATTATGTGAAATAGTAAAATTCAAGGAACAGTTCCTGACACATAGTAAGTTATATGGTATAATATAGTAAATGTTAATTATACGTTTACTCTACATAGTCAATGTTAACTATTATTATTACTGTTATTCTTTTTTTTTTTCTTTT